GATGTAGGAGGCATGTGAACTCCGGAAGACAATGTTTAAGCATTAAATGAAATGACACCAATGACTAGATGATAAGGTCTAGATCGTTCTCTCTGAACAAAAGCATGTTGGGTCACTCTACCATATCTTAATTTGTCTACATTGTCAGACATTTTACTTGTAATTACACTGTAAAATCATATTATAATTAGAGAAGGCAAACCTAAGGGACAAAACAGGCAAAATAGGAAAATTAATGCATAACACCAAAATTTGGAAGTTAACTTCTGTGTTTCAGAACAACAAAAATTAAAATTTAACTTCCATATCCTCCTAGACATAGAATATGAGGAAACAGAGCAATGCCAAAATGCTTTAACTTCAAACTTCAAAAAAATCAACATGCATGTCTCACTAAACAACTTATTATGCGCTCTAACGTAACAACATCAACATATTATGCGTTTAAGTTCAAACTAATCCATCCAAAATCCCAAAATAATAATAAGAAAATAAAAAACGTAACGAGTGTGAGGAGTCAACGATTTTCGATTGAATGGGGTTGAGTAGATGTTTATTGACATCATAGACTTCAAAGCAATGCAATAGAACTAACGAGAAAGTATGAAAATGATGGAAGACAAATGTGCTCACAAGTTCTGTTTTGGGGTTTGAGTACACTCTCAAATGAAATGAATAAGGAACAAGAGAAAATGTCTAACACGATATATATGAATCAAACACATAAAAAAACTTAACCTCCATAAAAATACATAACTTAAATTTCATATATATTCTTCTATGTTCTAACCTAGATCAGAGACTTTTCTTTAGTTACATATTTGATGAGTCTGAAAATTAAATTCTAAATTTTAAGAGCATTATTAATATTTTACCTGAGTCCTTGAGCATCACTAAAAATGTCAAAATAAACCCGTCGTAAAATGTTACGAAAACATGAGGCCTTTAATATAATTTTGGCCCAATGGTGAAATTCATAAACTGATCCTCCATCATAGCATATTTTATTTGGGTTGTTAGTTGTTTCTAATAATAATGTTTTTTTGGAAAAAGTACACTAACTTTCTCCCAAGCGTATTAAAATGACACTTATACTTCCTTTAATTTTAAAATATACACTAAGTAAAATCTATTAAAATAATATTTATATCCTCTTTAGTTTAAGAATATACATTAACCTCTAAAATGTGTTTTGAAATAATATTTATCTCCTCTTTTGCTTCCTATCATATATTTTGAACATTTAAAAATGTGTTAATGTTATTTTTCTAATTGCACTTTATAATTTTATATGATTAAAAATAAGTGCATCCACAATAAAAATGACACTTATGTTATTACACTAACCCCAATCAAAATGTTTAGTTTTTTTTTGGAAAAACTACACTAACCTTCTCTGAAACCTATTAAAATGATATTTACACTCTCATTAATTTTAATATATACACACTAAGTAAATCTATTAAAATGATACTTATATTCCCTTTAATTTTAAAATATACACTAACCTCTAATAAATTTGCATATCCCAACATATATTATTTGTTACATTTAAAAAGTTTAAGTATAAATAATATTATTATGGAGTTATTTGCTTGCCACTATAAACATTTAAGTTTTTTTTTTAACAAGTCGATCTTTTAAATTTTCTTGTGTGCAACTCGATCTTTTTAAGATATTTCTATATCAATTTTTTCATATTTTAAATATTTAAAAATATGTGAGTGTTATATTTTTAGTTGCACTTCATCATTTTTTATATCACTTAAAACAGTTGCATCCACAGTTATTATATTCACTATATAAAAAAGGGTAACGATATATATCATTTGATAATTTAAAGAACTAAATTATTTTAACAAGTATAAAGGACTAATCTATTATATATAAGAAATAAATAAAAAATAAAAAAACTCAAAAACCGCTAGTATAATTTTGCATATTTTAAAACTAAATTGATGTCGTTGTCATTTTGATAACCTCAAAGCGCAATTTTTCTATACTTTTTTGTTCTGGCATGGGCCCAGCCCAATAGCGCACAAGACCCAATGAGTAGAGTAGCCTGGCCGGGCACACGCCCTCCCACAGGACGGGCGGGACATGCTCCCCGTCAAGCACGATGACGCGCTTCTAAGCGTCATCGGCGTTCCCCCTAGACGGACAGAATAGCCCTCCACGGGCAGAACCCCCCGCGGGGAGAATCACACACCTCCGAGGAACCTCCCGAGCTCCCCTCCGCGGGGAGGACAACGTGCCCTGCGCACGTTCTCCACGTGCTCCCCTCCGCGGGGACACGTCATCAACCAACTGCCCACCTCCGAAAGAGCAGGTCAAACCCACGTTCCGGAGACCACTGAACAGCTGGACTAGGGCGAAGACCACGTTCTGGTCTTCACTACGCCACGTAAGCCCTAGCAGTCACCTGTGTTGGGCCTGGCAATCCAACCCAACACAAATGACCGTTGGCCCAGCGCTGGGGTCTCTATAAATACCCTCTTTCCCAAAAGGGTCAGGTAATTCACTTCTTATCCATTTTCTGTACTTTGCTCTCGCTCTGCCCAACTCCTTACTTTGGCATCGGAGTGTTTTGCAGGTACACCCCTCTTCTCCTCCTCATCACCGGTGAACAGAGAGCAGTCCAACAGCGTGTGGCCAGCCTGTGATCCCCTTCTGATCAGGTCAGATCACTTTTTATTAGCCTACTATACCAATTTAAACTCAAAGATCATTTCAATTTTTTTCTAAATTCAAGGGTTCATTTTTTAAACTTCTTTTAAAAAGTTTAAAAGTATCTTAAAAACATAATATAATTTTTATCGTGTTTGGTTATCCGATGAAAAGAAATTACTTTGAATTACTTGATTATGCAAAATTGATTTTAATTAAAAGTGAATGGAAGATAAGATAATTTATATTTTGATCAATTTATATAGAAATAAATCGAACATTAATTTTTAATATAAACATTGCGTTGAATCTGAAAAACTACAAATTCAACCTCCAAGTAAAACAAATTATAAAAAAAAAAAAATCAATTCTATTTTAAAAGAATCAAACACTTTAATATCATTTTAAAATCAATTATGCACCTCTAAAATTATTTTTGACTCTTCTAAAAGATAAATCAAATATACATTGCATGTGTGTTTGATTATACATTTATTTTGAATTAATTAATTTCGTAAAATTGATTTTAATTAAAAGTGAAGTAACGATAAAATAATTTATGTTTGAATAAATTTATGTAGAAATGAGTTGAGAAGTAAATGTCAATATAAAAATCATATTTAAATTAAGAAATTATAAATTCTTACTACAAATAAAATCAATTCTAAAAAAAGAATTAATTATGATTTAAAAAAACTAAATATCTCATAATCATTCCAAAATCAATTTTAAACTTTAAAAATTGTTTTTGAAGCCAAACCAAATATGCATTATGTTAGTAGTGTATTTTTACTGATTTGATTTGAGAAATACAAAGGACGGATTGAGAAATTAACAAAACACAATGAGCACAAATTTTTATGCAGTATCAGTGGACCTAAGAGCATTTTTAATGGGAGTAGACTAAATGGGTAAACTAATATAATTTTTGTGGGCCCAAAGTGATTTGTAAGATTTAAAATATTTATAGTTGATTTGAGTTGTTTTTACTTTAATGATGGTTGCTTGTAAAAAAACTAAAACTTGACCCCACATTCTATAGTTGTTGGAGCTTTACTGATATTTTAATAATATAAAACAATAATAAATAATAATAAGAGTCATTGAAAATGGATAGTGTGCGTTGTTATTTCAATGCAAATTGCTTATAACTACCGTTACTATTAAAGAATTTAATACTACAGAACTTGCACTAAAGATGCTCTAAATTGAAGTAAAGAAGAGGAGGATTTAATTTGAAAACCCACACTTATACCTTGCACCGATTTTTAGTCTGTATCGAAAATTCTAAAAATATATAATTTTTTATGTAAAATTATTGGAAAGTTTTAAATTTGTGAAAGTTTTTGTTTTTTCCCGATTTTTTTTTTTGGTAATTTCCAGCATAGGTTTAAGATTTTCTAGAAATATACCAAATTTTTTGAAATCGCTAATATTTTTTATTGGATTTTTTGAAATTTTCGGTATTTTTTATCGAATTTTCTAGAAAAACACCATTATGATGTAATGTCATTTGACATTCCAACTATAGTGGTTGAAGATTGGTTAGAGAACAAACATCATATACATTAGTAAATGATTATGTATGCACGAAGCAATTCAACGCATATGGCTCTTTCTAGTCAATTGTATTATTATGTTATACACCCTCCATCTCATGTTATACACCCTCCGTCTCATATTATAAGCAAATTTTACTTTTTAAATTTATTATAAAATTAATATATCTGATCTATATATAGATCATATACATTAATTATTCTATAAATTTATAAAGCAAAATTTGGTTATAATATGGAACGGAGTAGTATATTTTAGAACATTCATTGTGCATATTGAGAATATGGTTGAATTGTAAAGACTTATGCATGTAAGAAGCAATCAATTACATGGCAACAAAACTGTAATTTGACTGTTATTATTTCACTCAATTTCAAGATACAGAATACAATTCTAAAATACAACTTTTCACAATGGTTATGCAATCCCTTGACAGCACCTTGATGAGCTGGTTTCTTTGTACATTAGGTTTATCAACAAGACTCTACACCTGTAACCCCACATCATCCAAAACCTAACAAGACCGGAAGACGGGGGAGAAGAAGCCTAATCTATGTCTAACAAATGGTTAACCAAAACAACAAAAAATTTGTATGCTATCAATATCCATATGAGCATATACATTACATAATCAGCAAACATCTCTTCAATACCTAAACATTGATGGCACTTAACCATTCATTTCGCATTGTCATTACTCAATCATTCTTCTCAAGAAATATGTTAATATGAATATATTACCAAGGACCACTGCAAAGAAATGTGTGAAAACATCATTTGGATGTTGATGCGCCTTTTGTGACATCATAGACTGTGCGGAACCTAAGTCCAGAACCTATATGGTTCGCCGTTGGCCACAGCCAGCTGAGGATATTTGGTCCCAAAACCTGCAACAAAATAAATCAGAAGCTCAAGCTCACACATTGTGATAAAAGCCGCAGCTGCAGCAGTAGAATCATCGATACGTACAGTTGTCAGATTCTCATACGGGCCGAGGTCATACGGATGTTTATAGATACTTCCACCCTTCTCTTGAAGCCACAAAGCTCTCACTCCTTCATAATACTGCCAACACAACTGCCTAGTTGAGAAATCCGAAATCAGTCTGGTCAAATAAAATAAAAGATTTTAGTTAAAAGCATGTAATAACCTCTATGGTGGTTTTGTTGTGTAGGATGAGATAGATATGCCATCCTAAAAGAACACATAATGATATAGATAAGGGGGCCAGTAAGATCATAGAAACAACCTGCAAAAAAAGTTAATTTCATGAGAAAGTAAAATTGCTAACTTTACTGAAGTGAAATAAATGCATGTTTGTTTTTAGTAGAACTTACATATACGGTTCTATAAGAGCCACCATTATTCTCGTCATCCGGTAAACCGTCATAAGCTAGACTACCAACAAGTAAGACCTACAAAGTTAAACAATTTTGAATGAAAAAGATTGTCAATACGAGAACTATCAAATCTATCACCGCACCATGAAAAACACCAAAAGAAAGAGAAACCTAAATCAGGCAGATAATAAAATAAATCAAACATACCATGGAGTAAATGCAGGCAATTGCAGCATGCGTGACAAAAATGAAGAAGATCTTGTAGTTTGCGTGACCGACGCAGTTATTTATCCAAATGCAATGGTGATCCTTAAAACCAATAGACAACACTATTTGTCATTATTCAAAATATCAAATATAACCTTGATTGATGATTTAGAATACCATTCGGAGAACACATCTTTTACAAACCCGGCAATGATGTGCACGGGGAGGCTTATAGTGAGAACACTTTTGACAAAATCGTAAATCTCCACCCTGCTTATAGTTCAAAAAACATTACATGATAGTTAGTTTTCATGATGTTCAAAATTGATATACAATCACATGTTTCAGACCAAATCTTTAAGAGAGACCAGTGTTATATATTCTAAGTTTGCTATGATAAATCGTATAAAATGAATAACTTAGCGATTGTGTTCCTAAACAACTAAAACTTAAGAAAAATAGAACCATAAGCATTAAACTCAGACATAGGTGTCAAAATGTATATGAGCTGTAAATAACCGAAAATAAACTAAAAGCCCCTTTCATAAAAAATGAAAATCAGCACAAACCCTTCTTTTTTGTATCTCAGACCTCAGCTTTTCATCCTTTTGACTTAGGCAACAAAGAAAATAAAAAGAGTCTAAGGATGTACTAGCTTAGAAATCTCAATCGGTAGGGTCCAAGTAGGATATTATAGTGTATGTCTTATACCTACTTACAGTAATTGACAATAAAAATAAAATTGATTTAAATACAACCGCACTTCAACTGTAAAATTATTCAAATATCTTTGGAACCTAATCATAAAACATTACAAACAAAACTATCTAACTAAATTAAATTACAAAATACAATACATATATTGTGTTTAAAGATTGAGTAAATGTTACAATAAACCATTCGGAATAAAAAAATCATATTTATTTACAACTACAAATTAAAATTAGGTATGGATTAAATTTAATGTTTCAATTTAATATTAAATTGAAATTGTATTATATTTTATTAAAAATAAAACTAAATAAATATTGTGTACTAGGTACTCATCCTCATCCCCATCAAATTTTGCGGGTAATTACCCATACTGATATCTGCCAACAGATAATTACTCACTCAATATGGATAACTTTTGTGCATACCATCAATTACCATTCCTGCACTAGCCATACTCATTAACTTGCCTTCAAACCTGCGAGCTTACATGATTTAAGCAAGTTTGATTAATTTTACACAAGTATGTCAAGCTGCAAGCTGTGTGGACACAAATTTCTTATTTAGGAGTTAAGATCATAAACTCATCAGTATTAATAAGTTAACTTAACATGAGAGTTCGATAACTAACTAAATGACATTGTAAATATGAATGAGTATTAGTAAAGACGAGTAGACGACCTTTTCTAAAGGAAGACAACCAACCGCATATACAATACTCCACTCTAAAGACCTTAGTCAAACCAACCATATTGAAATTACTTTCATTCCATCACAATAGTCACGGGTGATTAGGAATATAATTAATTTCAGGCAACAGAAGGCCAAATACATCATCACATGACATAACACCAACCTTTTTTCATTTACTACAAAAGCACAATAAAAAGAAGGTTAAAATTAATCTTTGCAATCAATAACGGTGCTGCATAGCGGCCATTAGGAACTACCTAAAACCCTATTGTGTTGTGTTTTTTGGTAGCAGTAAAAACCTTGAATTATCCTCAACTCATAGCAGCTACCTCTTTTTGGATTAGCTCCTTAAAAACCTCAATTATCCTCAACTCATAGAAGCCACTACCATAAAGCTCCTATAATAACCTAGAATTATCCTCAACTCATAGCAGCTACCTTTTTTTGGATTAGCTATAACTATATTTTTAATTTTGTATGCTCTTCTACTTTCAAGTTTTTATGTGTATGGTGGCATCTCTTTCATGTATTGTTTCCGTAACCTTCAATGCAACAGCCAAACTGATATCCACTATACTGCAACAACATTTCGGGAGTCGGCGGCAATTGTGTTCAACAACATAAAGGTTTTCATCATCGTTCACGAGCATATTGAACCCACAAGTTTGTGTGCATCAGTAGTATTCGACCACAATTTTCTACATACTAAAAACTATGACGTCAGTACATACATCCAAGGTTTTAAAAAACAGTCCACAACCGCAACAATACGGCAAGTGCCAATACCAATGCCAATATCGATACCGTTATATACCATCTTTATGTTAATAATAAATTGAAGTTAATACACAGCGTGATGACTGCATTCAGCGTTGTAACATCTGCACCCACCAAAATCGCGAAAGCCTTTACACGACCGCGACGCCGCCGATATTTAAAACCCTACCAAGACCCCGAAACCCTGATCAAGACTATGTCTAAACTATCCAGCTAAAATTTTATCCCTTTACTCATACCATGCCTAAAATCTACAGTGAAGCTAAATCAATAACAGAGAGAAAAAAAGTCACTTTTTTACTCTCATTATGAAAAAATTCAGCTCAACTTCTACACCAAGAAACTCCAACTTCCAAATTATTTTCTAATAACTAATAATCAATTAATCATTAAAAGTTATACAAAAATTATAAGTAATGAATATGCCATTAATACATAATCATTTCATAAACCTCAATTTCAAAACAAAAACACAAGAATAATAAAAATTGCATTTTTATCAAACTGTTACCTTGCGTTTGATCTCATGTAGAGGGGTTGTGTTATCTTCGATATCAGGCGTGTAGGTAGCCGGAACCCGACCCGGATCCGTGGAAATAGCAGCCCGGTAAGAAAAGAGAGACATGATAGCGATGGCGGTGAAAACGGCGGCGTTAGCGATTCCAGGGGAAGAGAAAAGGCCCAGCCACCGATCAATGAAGACAAAGACGGTGGAGAAGTAAATGTAAGCGATTGCGGCAACGACGACGGTTACGGGAAACGAGAACGCGAAGCGCTGTTGTTGCTGCTTCGCTTTCTCGGCCATTTCGCCGGCGGGAGCAAAACGTTTGGGGTTGGTGGTGGTTGCTGAGTTTGTAATTTAATTTCTAACAAACAAGTGAATTTAATTTAAGCAATGTTTTCTTTGATTTTACTCTATTGAAGTTTCTTGAAATTCTTTGGTTGATGGGTTCTTATATTATTTTATATTTTTCTTCTTTTGGATTTCTCTTTGAGTTCTCTTGTGATGTTTATTTATATTTATAGTAAGTAAAGTAATAATGAATTTATTTTAAATATCCCACATTAATCATTTTTTTTCATAATTAATTAAAATAGTCACGTTTCAAATAAAAAATTTTGCACTAAAGGGACGGCAACACAACCACTGGTTTATACATCAAAAATAGAACATACGCGCCACACACATTGATAACTTTGCACCACTAATGTGCCAATAGACTTGGTGCATGTGTTATTGCAGAAAGAGGAGACGTCAATTTGACGCCTATGTGTATTGACTTTTTTTAAATTAATTAAGAGCTAAATAATAATAATATAAATTTTGTGAAATAAAAAAATTAAATACTAATATTATTTAATTAAAATAGAATTACTTGCAGAAAAATTTTGTACACATACTTTAATGACCTGTTTGATCATAAAGGTCATTGGTTCTACATTTCGACGTTGTTATTTGTCGTTGAGACCTCTCTGATTCTCCTGAGGTGTTTGTTGTCTCCTAGAATTCACTTGAGGTGTTTGGTGCTAGGTTCCTAAGATATTAGTGTTATCCATGAAATATAGCATATCTTGCCAGCTATATTAGGATGTGTTGTCGTAATCGAGTTTTGTACCCATGTCGTCGCAGTTTGGTCGTGTTGGTTGGGTTACAAGTGGGCGGGATGATTGGTTGAATTGAGACATTGATTAGATTTAGAAATGAAGTAATGGTTGTTGTGGTGTTTGGTAGGCATGTTTTAGTTTAGTGCTTTTGTGGTGTGAAATTTTGGTGTTTGTTGTTTGGGTGTTATGTAGGATGTGGTGGTATCATGTGCCTCATCGTTGTTATGGTAACATGTGGTGGAGGTATATGCTTGTTGGTGGTATGAGTCATGTTCTTGATTTTGTGCTTGGGTGTGTGGCATGAATTGGTCGCAGGTTTGGGTGTATGTGGTTTGATAATCATGTTTGATTGGTTGTTAGATGTATGTGGTTAGGTAATTTTGTTGGGTTGGTTGTTAGGTGTAGGTGGGTTGGTTATCATGTTGGGTTGGTTGTTGGGTGTAGGTGTGTTGGTAATCATGTTAGGCATTTAATGACGAAGCTTGTAGGCATGGGTCGATCAAATACCTCGGGTCGAACACAAACTGAGTTATTGTAACTGATATATACCCATTCATATAGTTCTGAGTTGGTTTAGATTCATATGGAATGACAGATTCATTTATGACCCGTTGATGACGACAATTCCACTAACGACACACAGCCTTAGAGAAGTTTGTCCAAACGGTAAAATTACATTGTGAATCAACTCTAAGTTGATGCCATTGTCCCAAACACATCGGGGAATATGGGTTTAATGAAATATCAATATTACCCGGTTTATAGTAAATAGAAGATCAAATTTCTCGCATTTCAAAGAGAGAATAGATGCGAAGTTGCAGTTTGGTCCAATTGATGTGTAGAATCAAAAGTAAGTATTTTGTTATTGTATCCACAGTAACTAGTGCAATATTACCATTATTCAACAGTCAATATGATTTTGAGTGATGATTTGTAAGATGTTTGTTTATGAAAAGTAAAGGAATGGAAAACGGTAAATGATATGTAAAAGAACAGAGATATAAACTTGTTGGGATTAAAGTTCATTAACCTATTTCATATGTATTTTTCTAATCAGATATATTAATCCTAGTTATTAATCAACATTTTCATGTACCACTAACTAACATTATTTATGTCTAAACAAAGATGTGATTTCAACTATATTGTTCAATCGACGATCTCTCAACCTATTGAACAATATGATAGCATTAAAAATCGGTAATTTCGATGAATACTAAACCTAAATTTATCTCTATAGTTTAGTGTTTAAGAGATGATTATCCTAAATCCATATTCAAGTCATATTTCTTAATAACTATTCAAATCTAAAGGATCAAACATTGAAAGCAAGGATAATTAGCAATAATAATAAATAACTTAGTTATCGATAATATCATGATTAAAAAGAATATATATGAGTACGTTTAATTACATATAATTCTAAAAAGAGATATACTTAGCTACTCATTGTCATGGTAGCTTGATACAAATGAAAAGAATATATATTAATTAACATCAATGTTGATTTCTCGACAATTGTTGCGGATCCACCTTCGATTCTACGAGTTATAGCTCTCCTCTATTTTTGCTCAATTTTCTATCTCTTAAAAAAGTGTGATAATCCTTCTGGTTATGTTTCAATGCCTTTTATACTGACCCTATTTTTCTATTCTCGCTTAGCGAGCCAAGGTCTCGCCTAGCAAGATGAACTTCCTTCACCATGAAGAATTCTTAGTCACCTTCCTGAAACTGACTTTCCTCGCCTATCGAGAGTTTGGCTCGCTTAACGAGCTTTCTCACTCTAACCTCGCTCGGTCTCGCTAGGCAAAACTGCTTATTTCTGAAATCTTAAACTTTATGTCTTTTCTCGCCTTGTGCTTACTATGTCTTACTAAGTGAGAAGGTTGATTTTGAAATCTTTGAACTTTTTGTATTCTCTCTGAAGGGAAATCGCGATCCAAAATGCAACGGAAATTAAAATTTTCCCTTTAGTGATCCTTATGAATGAACATGATCAGTGATAGAAACGGTTACCTCTTGTGGTGATTAACAATTTTGAGACAGATTCGGATGAATGATCACGTGCGTTAAATGAAGAACAACGTCTCTACTTGATCTGACCTGATCAGAAGGGGATCGCTGGCTGCCACGCGTCTTCGACTTACTGCCTGTTCACCGGTGTTGAGGAAGAGGAGGGGGTGCATCTGCAAGGCACTCCGATGTCAAAGTAAGTGTATGGGCAGAGTGGTCACAAGTACAGAAAGAGGGTAAGAAGAGATTACCTGACCCTCTTATGAAAGAGGGTATTTATAGAGAGACCCCAGCGTAGGGCCAACAGTCATTTGAGTTGGGCTAGTAACTTGCCACAGATTTGTAATATGGGATTTGAATATGATTTTGAATTGGTAACTTGGAATGGAATTGGTGTGTAGCATGAAAATGAAACCTTGGAATGGAGTTTTAGACTATTTTGTTTGTTATGGGAAATAACATATTAGAATGACACATGAATCCTTGAGATGAAATCAAATATGGACTCTTGAATATGTAACCTAGACAGCCCATGTAATGACAAAAAATCCATAAATGATTAAATAGCCAAAAATCCAAATTCTCATGATTGGCTAAAATATATTCATGACTTTTGGTTGAAGTCCAAAATCTAGAACACCACCCCCTGACTCAGGGATTTCAAGCCCAAGAATCAGAGTTTCAAAGCTTTAGATCCCACCAAAAGTAACCATTGCCAGAACACCATAAGAAGAAATTTGCCTAAACTTGGGTTATGAACACCCACCTTGACTTAAAGTGTCTCCATTTTAATTGGCCAATAAGTGATTAGGTATGGAGCAACAACAAAAGTAATTAGGTCACTTTGGTCCTGAGGATCTTGTAGTAGATCAAAAACCCTAATCTTGACAATTTCTAATGGTTTATAATTTAACTCAATTTCTCTTGACCAAACCTCATGAGATCATGGATAATGACTTGGGAAGCTCATGGTTGAACTAGAATCCCAAAGGTTGACATTTGTGAGGGCACTAGTTGACTTTTGGCCAGATGATTCTGAAACTTCCTCTACTCACTTAGGAGGCTCTTGACATGACTTGTGATGAACCAAGAGGCTTGTATGGATGCCTTGAGGTGTAAATTGAGCCATGGAAACATGTCTTGTCCAAGAATTACACCATAAGTTGTTTTTCCCAGAAACCCTAATTCAGAGCCACAAGATAAGAGTATTGATCAATCTTCAATATTTTGAAACCCTTGTTGCTAGGTGAGTAAGTAACCTTGTTGGTGTCACACCCTCATTTTCACCTTTAGACTTTCATATCCTACATTCATCATATCATACATCGTTTTAGTGCATATCAAGCATGTGATTTTACAAGGTAAGGATTTGGTCAGTTCATTTTTTTCCATTTCAAATAAGAGAAATTGCCTATCATGGGCTACATTGAAGAAAAGTTCATCATCTAAGGTTTGATTCAAGTTGGAAAGTCTACTCATGTAGATTTCTTCAAGGAGAGATTAGTTGAAAAATATTGATGTATTCAAGGTCAATGTTCCTAACAAACATGATTGGCAAGGCCTAATTCAAGATTTCTTTATCCAACTTTGTTTCAAATTCTATGTTCAAGTGGAATTCACATTTGCAAGACATGAGTCAAGATCACAAGTTCATAATTCAAGACTTCATCCATTTCAAATTCAATGGCATAAAGTAAATACATCATTCCAAATTCAAGATTCATGAATTCAAGATTAGATTCAAGAATATTACAAAGGGAAATTTCATGACATTGTTACAAATTTTCTAACTCTAAGTAATGCTTAGAAAATTAAGCTATTTCTAATCTTAATTCAAGTTTCTAATCAACTTAATGCTATGGTACCTTTCATTCCCCATCAAGTCCACATGTTCCTCATTATGCCTACAAACATCCAAGGAAAATAATTAAGATTCAACTTAACATTGGAACATTTCAAGATCAAGACTATGTATGCTTAGTCATGAGTCATTTTAATGTGATCTAAAACAGTCTCATGCAAGAAGTGACAAATTGCCTCATAACCAAACAATTCATGTCACAAAACCAAAGGAATGGACCCATAATGATGCATCTAAATATCATAATTTTAAAATGCTGTCAAAGGTAGAAACTTAGACCACAGGGGTAGTCCAAGCACAAGCAAACAAATGGGTTCAAGTTTGGG